ACCAAATGTATGCCCATGAGTTGGGGCACCAAACTGTGCCTCTATTAAGGGAGGTAAACAAGCAGCAGAGACTGCCTTAGTGGGCAGTGAAAGCTAGTGCAAGGGTGAGCAGTTTGTCCTCTGGCAATAAGGAGGTGTCTGGCTCAGGGTGGGGCTCGGGAAGATAGGGTAGCAGAAGAGAGCACCTCCCCACCCCAATTGAATCTTGAAACTTCAAATGATACCATTAAATAGCTAAAACAACAGAAGCATCACTGGAGAAATCAAGGCTAGAATAAAACACTGTAATTTCAGAAATACATGGGAGCCTAGAGACCAATAGATTTTGTTGTTCTTGTGTGCTATTGAGTCGATTCTAACTCACAGGGACCTTATATGATAGAGCATAACTGCCCCACTGGGTTTCCCAGGCAGTAATCTTTATAGCACAAACCCTATGGGGAAAACAAGTCTTTTCTCGCTTGGAAGCACTGGTGGGTTTGAACCACCAACATGACAATTAGCTACTGAGCATTTAACCATTGAGTCTTTAGGACTGTTAGGGGGCACTGGCATTTCCTTATCTAAGATAAGTCATTTTTATGCTATGTGATATGTATGATGTCTATGTTCTTCCTTTGAAGAGACCAGGGGCCACAGTGGGAAACATGGGGGGTGGCTGAGTGCAAGGTCAAGAGTGTGTCCCCACAAGCCATACCTCAGGAGGAAGATTTACAGCCTGGGAAACCCACAGGGGTACTTCCACTTTGACCAAAGGGTCACTATAAGTCAGGATTGTCTTGAAGGGAGTGAGTTTTGTTTTGTTTGTGGGGGTGGGTGGGATGTGACGCCTTTACAGGTTTCTCCCATGATCTGAAAGTAGTGTTCTTTTCTAAGGTTCAAAAACCGACCTCACTGCCCTGGAGTGGATGCCGACTCATAGCGACCGGAAAGGACATAAAACGAAGAAGCTGCAATTGGCGAAGGTGTTAGGTGCCATTGAGCTGGTTCTGACTCCTAACAACCTTAGGCACAAGAGAACTAAACATCGACTGATCCTGTGCCATCTCAGTCGTTAGGTTGTATAGTGTATAGCGCTCTTGCAGCCAGTGTCAATTCATCTTGTTGAGGGTCTTCCTCCTTTTTGCTGACTTTACCAAGCACAGTTTCCTTCTCAGTGAGCTCTCCTCATTTTGCATCAGGCCCCATGGGCCAATGAAGGTCCAAAAACCATGCTTCATCTATATCTTTACGATTGACTCAGCTTGAAGGACGCTTGTCTTCCTCAATCCTATTTTGAGTGCCTTTCAATCCGAGGGGCTACTACTCTTCCTGCACTGTATCAGACAATGTCCCCCTGAGAGTCATGAGATTTTCGGTGGCTAATCCCTCAGAAATGGGATTCTTCTCCCCAGTCTGTTCTTAGTCTGGAAGCTGTGCTGAAATCTTTCATCACGGGCCACCCTGATGGTACTTGGAGTACTGATGATATAGCTTCCAGTATCACAGCAACATGCAAGCCACCAACCACAGTACAGCACACTGACAGACAGGTGGTGGGAAGAAGCATTACCATTAATTGATATGGAAAACTTTTTGAGTCTTTCTAGACTCGGAAAAGAACCTACCAAATCATACCAAATAATACATAAAACCTAAAAGCACACAGATATACATTGTTCACAGACAGAGTTCAAAGCTTTGACAGCTTGATGCTGTGATGTGGAGTGTCATTCGGGGAAGGAGTGTGTTGACACATCTCTTGGGGTGTGTGGTACCTCTTTAACACCTCACTGGAAAACAAACGCAGAATGCCTTTCTATACAAAATAAAAAACCCTTTTCAGGCTTTAGGTTATCACAAACTAAGGTAGGTCTTTCATCAAAGCAAAGTGGTTAAAGTGAGCTTTCTAAAAGTGGGGGACACCTATATAGATGTGAATCATGAAGCACAAGGAGCTTTAGCAATGTGTGAAAGGAAAGGGCAGAAGCAAGATTAAAATCCAGGGATTTGGACCTCTGGCCCAGGGACCACTTATTGCTCTATGCTGCTCACTTTATTGCCTTGATTTTGAAGCTGAGGTTTTAAAGAACACTTAGAATTAATATTTGACTCAGTAATAAGCCTCTTTTCTATCTGAAGTCGCTGTGTACTACCTGGAGTTAAAAAATTCTGAAAAAGGAAATAATTTTCACAGAAACCAAATTGGGAATCTAGGTTTGGGAAAATATGACTACTATAACCCCAATTTTTGAACCTGTTTAAAAAAATAAAATGCATTCCTAGTCCACTATAAAAGTACAAAGAACACTAAAGCAAGCCCACTGCTATCAGGTTGAGTCTGACATATGGCAAAGACAGAGCAGAGCTGCTCCTTGGACTTCCTGAGACTGAGTCTTTATGGGAGCGGATTGTCACATCTTTCTCCCAAGGAGCAGCTGGTGGGTTTGAACTGCTAACCTTGTGGCTAGAAGCCCAATGCTTATACCACTGCACCACCATGTAGCTATTTACAAAAATAATGTATGCTAATTATTTAAGTTTCAGAAAATAAGAAAGGTAGGAACAATTCTCTTTCCTTTACATGTAGTATCAAGGTTATAATTTTTATATAGTCATGCTCTTGCTGTAGGTATGATATTACACTGAGCAGTGAGGTTGATGAGATTTTGTCTGGCTTACTGGAGGCATGTCCTCAGGAAAGATAGATTACTAGAAAAGGGCATTATGCTTGGTAAAGCAGAAGGCCAGCACAAGTGAGGGACACCTTCATGAGGTATATCACTGGGAGCATCCCCCCAGTTGTGAGGGTGGCACAGGACAGACAACATTTCCTGTTATACATCAGGTCACCATGAGTAGAAGCCAACACCATGGCAATTAACATCAACAAGTGGCAACAAACTCCATTAAAACACATTGGCATGTTTCAGGGTACAAATGGGTATGAAAACAAGTGTTCTTAATATGATCATGAGTATTTGAGAAGAAAGTGCCACTGTTCATATATAACCAGTTACCACTACCAACTGCTCGGAAAGGGATCACATTCAAAGGCCCTGGATAGAATGGCAGAAAAATGTGGAACAAATGTAAAAATTATAAAATAGACCAGACTTACTGGTTGGATAGTAACTGGTGAAACCCCAAAATGGGCTTTGGGTCTCCACTCCGCACTCCCCCCATCATTCACTATGGTAAGGATTTTTGTTCTGATGGTGCCTTATATCTGATCCCTTCGACACCT